AAGAACTAGAAATGCTAGTTACTAAACAGAACTATTAAGACATAGTTGGCATCACAGAGACTTGGTGGGATAATACACATGACTGGAATATTGGTATAGAAGGGTACAGCTTGCTCAGGAAGGACAGGCAGGGAAAAAAGGGAGGAGGTGTTGCCTTACATATCAAAAATGTACACACTTGGACGGGGATTGAGATGGAAATAGGAGACAGACTTGTTGACAATCTCTGGGTAAGGTTAAAAGGGGTAAAAACAAGAGTGATGTCATGGTAGGGATCTACTACAGACCGCCTAACCAGGCAGAAGAAGCTGGATGAGACTTTTTTTAAACAACTAACAAAATCATTCAAAGCACAGGACTTGGTGGTGATGGGGGACTTCAGCTACCCAGACATCTGTTGGGAAAATAACACAGCAGGGCACAGATTATCCAACAAGTTCTTGGAATGTATTGGAGACCGTTTTTTATTTCAGAAGATGGAGAAAGTCACTAGGAGAGAGGTTGTTCTAGATTTTATTTTGACAAATAGGGCAGAATTGGTTGAGAATTTGAAAGTGGAAGGCAGCTTGGGTGAAAGGGATCATGAAATCGGGGAAAGAGAAGTCAGAGAGGATATGATAACAGTTTTCAAGTATGTTACAAAGAGGAGGGGAGAAAAATTGTTCTTAACCTCTGAGGATAGGACAAGAAGCAATGGGCTTAAATTGCAGCAAGGGAGGTTTAGGTTGGGCATTAGGAAAAACTTCCTAACTGTCAGGGTGGTTAAGCAGTGGAATAGATTGCCTTGTGGAATCTCCATCGTTGGAGATTTTTAAGAGCAGGTTAGACAAACACCTGTCAGGGATGCTCTAGGTAATACGTAGTCCTGCCATGAGTGTAGGCGACTAGATTAGATGACCTCTCGAGTTCCCTTCCAGTCCTATGATTCTATGAAATGATAGAGTTCATGATTCTAAGGAATAGTAGGAGGGAAAACAGCTGTTGGTAGTCCATCACGGATGATGATGATGATATTGTCGCAATTCTCATCTCTGGCTATGCATATGATTCCAATGTTCGATCCCTGATGCAGAGTCAGCTGCACGGAGGGCATGGGAAGTCCAGGTCTATGATGTTTGATGATGCAGCTCTGTGGCACCTTTCACGTGCAGTCTGGAGATGATTTTGTCGATCACGCTCAAACCTGTTAGATGCTGATCTGGTCAGATACTGCCAGTGAGTCCTGTTCTGAGCCATTTGCTCGAGTTCTTTGAGATTGATGCCAGCCCACTGGAGACTGCTCTTCAGGTTATCTTTGAAGTGCTTATGCGGACGACCCTTCTTTCTTTGGCCCTGACTGAGCTCCCCATACCAGATCTGTTTTGGGAGACAGTGGTCTTCCATTCTGATGACATGTCCGGTTCAATCTAAGTTGTGCTCTCAATAACATTTCCTCAATGCTGGTTGTGTTTGCTCTCTCAAGGACCTTAATATTGGTCACTCTGGCCTGACAGCAAATGCCCATTATTGAACGGAGGGAGCACATGTGAAATTGCTCAAGCTGTTTAATGTGCCGACTATAAAGAGTTCACATCTCAGAACCATACAGGACAGATGTTAGAACCACTGCACTATAGATCTTCAATTTGGTGGAGAGATGAATGTTGTGTTGGTTAAGGACTTGTGTTTGGAGTTGGCCAAGGGCCTGGCTGTCTTTACTAATTCTGGAGGCGATTTCCTTATTAAGGGAACTGGCACTAGAGATGGTACTGTCCAAATACTTGAACTGATTCACATTTTTCAGCTGTGTGCCTTGGATGGAGATGGCTGGTGCTGGGGCATTGGAATGAGGTGCTGGTTGGAACAAGACCTCTGTCTTCCTGAAACTGATGGTGAGGCCAAAGAGCTGGGATGCTTCAGAAAACCTATCAACAAAGACCTGTCTATGGGCCATCAAGGCACAGTCATCTTCAAAAAGTGCCTTGATGAGAAGTCTTGGTCTTAGCATCTTGGTCTTTGCATTGAGTCTTTGAAGATCAGAGGGAGCCATCGAGTCAGTAGCGGATATGTATCCCCCATTCCAAGTCCCTTGTGGCATGACTGAGGATACAGGCAAAGAACAAGTTGAACAGCACTGGAGCAAGTACACAGCCTTGCTTCACTCCATTTGAGATTTCAAATATGTCAGAAGAGTCACCATTGGACAGTACTTGCACTGTCATGTGGTCATGGAAAAGACGGATGATTTGTATGAACCTTCTTGGGCAGCCCAGTTTATAGCCCATAGACCCTCTCTGTTGACCGTATCAAAAGCTTTGGTCAAGTCAATAAAAACTGCATACAGATCCATATTCTCCTCTAAACTTTTTTCCTGGACCTGCCTTATGACAAAGATCATGTCCATAGTACTATTAGGAGGGAAAACAGCAGAATGAAGATCATAGATTTCAAGAGGACAGACTTTAGCAAATTCAGGGAGTTGGTAGATAAGAGCCCATGGGAAGCAAGTCTAAACAGTTCAAGAGAGTTGGCAGTTTTTCAAAGAGACATTATTAAGGTCACAAGAGCAAACTATCCCACTGCATAAGAAAGATAGGAAGTATGGCAAGAGACCACCCTGGCTTAACCAGGAGATCTTCAACTATCTGAAACTCAAAAAGAGTCCCCAAAAAGTGGAAACCACGTCAAATTACAAAGGATGAATATAAACAAATAATGCAAGTATGTAGGAACAAAATAAGAAAGGCGAAGGCACACAAGGAGATCAAATTAGCTAGAGACATAAAGGGTAACAAGAAATATTCTACAAATGCATTACAAGCAAGAGGAAGACCAAGGACAGGGTAGGCCACTTACTCAATGAGGTGGAAAAAAAACAACAAAAAATGTGGAAATGGCAGAAGTGCTACATGACTTTTGTGTTTCGGTTTTCACCATAAAAGTTAGTAGCGATTGGATGTCTAACATAGTGAATGCCAGTGAAAATGAGGTAAGATCAGAAGCTAAAATAGGGAAAGAAAAAGTTAAAAATTACCTAGACAAGTTAAATGTCTTCAAGTCACCAGGTCCTGATGAAATGCATCCTAGAATACTCAAGGAGTGACTGAGAAGATATCTGAGGCATTTAGCGATTATCTTCAAAACGTCATGGAAGACAGGAGAGATTCTAGAGGACTGGAAAAGGGCAAATATAGTGCCAATCAATAAAAAGGGGGAAAAGGATAACCCTTCAGTACCCAGAAAGATAATAGAGCAAATAATTAAGCAATCAATTTGCAGACACCTAGAAGAAAATAAGGTGATAAGTAACAGTCAGCATGGATTTGTGAAGAATCAATTATGACAAACCAACCTAATAGCTTTGACAGGGTAACAAGCCTTGTGGATAGGGGGGAAGCGGTAGATGTGGTATATCTTGACTTTAGTAAGGCTTTTGATACTGTCTTGCTGTACCGAACACCCGCCCTTGGCCGTCCCTCAATGAGAGGGCTGAGGTACATTGGTAGAGCATTGCGTGGTAACTTGCACTATGACTGTCCTCATAGTAGATGAAGAGGAGCAGTATTCGGGATTGTATATCT